TACGTTTAGAGTCGTTCTTAACATTTTCAATTAATTTTGAGTAGTAATTCTTTTTTAAGTTTTTACGAGTTTTTTCAAATAGATATTTGTAATCTTTGTCTATTTTTTCGTTCAAAGGCGTTTTTGTTTTTAAGTAATTTATATATAGCTTTTGTTTGATCTTAGATGATTTTTTAAAACCCTTAGTCATCCAAGGAGCATTTAAGCTTTTTTGATTTATTGTTTTTTCACAGATGGGAAAATTGGCATCATAGACAGAATAAAATGTTTTAAAAAAATTTTCATAAATTTTATTTGCGTCGTCATTAAAATTTATATGCTTCCAATGAAGAAGTGATAATTGTTTTTAAACTGTTCAATATTGTTTATATTGTATATGCGTTTACTTATTTTATTATTAGATTTGGTTTTAATTTTAGAATTTGAGTTGAATGATAGAAATATTGGAAAATGATCAGTTATATCTGCTTTCAATATACCTTTTTGTATATTGTTATTGAAGACATCAGTTGTAATAATGTTATCAATTAGAGTTGCTGAGTTTGCTGATACTCTAGTTGGACGATTAATTAAAGGAATTGCTCCTATTTCAAATATTAAATAATAAATTTTTTTTATTTTACAGTCATTCTCGTAGTTTAAAAAATTCATGTTTAGATCGCCAATAAAATTTTTTTTTTTTTTCTTTAATGCCTATTTTGATAACATTTTGCTCAAAAAACGTGCTCAGATTCTCACTCAGACCGTCAGGTGGTCGATAACAGCAGCTTAGTAATACATTTTTAGATTCATTGTTTAAGATTTCAATAGTTAAAATTTCTTTATCGCCGTCAGAAACACTTAAATCGTTTCTAACGTAATGCGCAATGGTTTCTTTCACGTAAATAAGAACTCCACCACCGCGTTTATTTGTATGTCTCTCTTGGGATATTAACTCAAAACGGGGAAGATAAAAGTTTGCGTTATTACTTAAATCGTTTGCGTTTATCCAAGTTTCAGTTAAACAAATAATATTAAAAACATTTTTAGTTTCTTCTTATAAGTAAAGGAGCTTTTCAAAGTTGTGACTTATGCTTCTAATATTTACGTGAAGGATTTTAATTTGTTCGCTGTTATTGAAATTAAAAAGAGATCCTTCTATTTCACTAGGATAATAGTAAAAGCAATCATTATTTAAATCATGAGAATAATTAGGGTCTTTTTCTACATTTATATCTATTAAAGTTTTCATTTTTGAAAAGTTAAAAGCTTGATGCTTAAAATTGCTAATTTCAGCCATTCCAGTGAGAGTTAGAATCTCCTTTCATTTCCGCGACTACATTATTTTAGTTATGAATATCTTTAACAAAAATTTTATCAAATTTGGTTACTGCATACTTACCTTCTTTACGATGTCTTTTTCTTCTTCACACAATTTTTTACGATGTTCTAAGGTTTCTTTTGCATAATCTTCATTGATAAAAATTTCAGTGCCATTAAGTTTTTTCACAGATGTTAAAATTTTGCATTTATCGTTATAATTTAGGAGTTTAAGGACTATAGTTCTTGGTAGCTTGTCTTTAACTCTTCCTATTCGATGGGCTCGCTCAACCACTATATCATCGGCAATTCCAAGCTGGATTTTAAAGATCTTTTTAACTGCTCTTGCACAGTCATCCCACGTTTCAGACGATAGTTCTGCAACACCATCAACTCTTAAATTATTGCGGCGAGATCTATTTTCTAGATCTATATATTTTTTTTCAAAGCATTTATTTCTTCATTGATCTTTAAATTTAGTTGAGACAGCATTTCCTTGATGTTTTCCTCTTGGAAATTTATACTATCTTTAATGTCGCTAGTATCTTTTTCTAGTATTTCAACTCGGGATTTATTAAAACTAAGTTCTTTTTCAAGTTTATCTAGTCTGTCTGATATTATTTTTATGTTGGAACTCATTATTTTTGTAAAAGTTTCTTCTTGTTTTTTTTAATAGTTTTTCAGTTTCTTTTAAAATGTTTTGCTTCTTATCTTCAAGCTTAGATATAATTAGTTTCTCAATATTTTTCATTGATAGATCCATCTTCGCACAATTAAAAACAATAACGACTCACTCAATAATCACCTTTCAAATCCGGCAAACAACTTTAAAAGCAACTTTCACTTATACAAATTTAAAAGAAAAAAAAACACTTTTTCTATAAAAAATAAAAAGACAACAACAAACTTTCAATTTCTAAATCTTTCAAGTTTCAAACTTTAAGGAAAAGGTCGCAACAACTTCCAAAATAACTTTCAAACAAACTATAAACCTAACATCAACAAAGAAAAATTTCAACTCTCAACACAAAACTTTTAACAACAATATAACAAAAAGCAAAACAACTTTCAACAACAAACAAACTTTCAGCAAAACTACTTTCAAATAAACAAGCAAGTTTTTGAATAAATAATAAAAATACAGCAAAACCTTTCTTCTTTCTTTCTTTAATCAAAAATTACTTTTATGGATATTTTATTTACTTTCTTCTTTCTTTCTTTAATCAAAAATTACTTTTATGGATATTTTATTTATTTATTTTTAATCTTCAATCGATTTCTTTTACAGCAGTTGAAAACACGTCCGTTTGCTTCCAAAATATAACGCCGAAGTTTTGAACTATAGTTGGCTTATATTGAGGACCTTTTTTTTTTTTGGTGTCTCTAGTCGTTAGTTGAAAAGCAAAAAAATACATGGAAGACTATCTTCAGTTAATTTATCAAGATTAACCGAGGTCTATTATTAAAAGAGGTCTCTTAAGTTAATCTAATAAGAGCTTTTCTTCAATTAAAAATATGCAAGGTTATCACTGGGGCACTTTACTTTTAGATTATAAAATTATATATTTACACATTATTTACAGATCTATTATTAAAAATTATATTTTTACATTACCATTAATAAAATAATTTCTATTTTAACAAATATATTATAAAATAGCACAAATTATAATAAAACATTGTATATTAAATATGCAATTTTAAATTATAAAAAGAGGTATTCAGAGATGCATTCTTAATGCCACATTTTGTTAAAAAAAATAAAATTTTAAAACATTCATTTTAATAAATCTTGCTGATAAATACATAAAAACTGAAAAAAATCAATTAAAAAACAAAAGTATTTGCCAATTATAACAAATACAACTTAGCATTTTATATATAAAAATGATTACACCAAATCGGTGTTATTATTGTTTGGCACTATACCAGGGTGCTTAACATATATATTTCAGGCGCCAAAATGAATAATATATCCACTCACATTCACATGAAGTTAGTGGAAAAGTAGCATGTAAACTTTTAATGTTTTTACAACCAGGAAAATTTATCACTTTTATTAGCTCAGTAATATTAATATTAAAACTACCTTTTTAAATTTAACTAAAATCCTTCACATAAATGAAGCTCACAAGATTAAAGCATGGAAATTCAGTAGATCTGTTTCATAAAATTCACTAAAAGATATAATTGAATTTCTGAAATCATTTTTGTAGGAACTAGCACTATGTTCTTGAAAACTATCCAAAAAAAAAAGTAAACCTTTTCCACCCAACAAGTTCAATATGGAACGGTACTTTCAATATGCTCCTCTAAAATTTGTTGCCTGATATGTACAAGTTTAAAAAGTATGATACCTCATTAAAGTGTGCCAAAAAAGATACTTGTCATATTGCAAAACATGACATAGTGCTAAAAAGATACTTGACATATTGCACTTTGTATGAGGCACAAATAACTAAATTAAGTCTATGACTGTTGCAATGAGCATATGCAGCTTTTTCATTTAGATTCGAAATACAAGAGGAAATCTTTAGTGTGACCATCAATTGCTCTAGCACCACCATATCACAATTCATGATATATAAAAAATTCATGATAAAAAGGAATCCGAAATATTTTTTACCAAAAAATAAAATATTCCGTACTAGTAACACCATTTGTGCAATCTAAGAAACTGATAAATTCTCTTATTGAACTTTGAACCAACAAACCATATAATTGAAAGTAGTTGTTCTCTACTTTATTTGTCAGAAGCTTCATCAGAAAAATGTTTAAAATTTTTAAACTATTTTGTTATTAACTTCTCTGAAACACTTTTTTTACCAGATCTTATGGTGTCTTAGATATGTAAAAAGCGTTTTATATTGATAATATCTAAGCTTATCTTGAAGAATTTTATCAGCAGCATAAACGCGGATACGTTGCAAACACGATTTATTTAAGAAAACTTTGTATAATTTCAGAGTCGAGACATTTTAAATATCACAATAAACTTTAAACATTTCAGGGTGAAAGTAGTAAGGTACGTCCGACAGTGTTTTTTCATAAATAAAATCGATTAAATAAAATTTAAATATTAAAAACTAAACTTAATAAAAAGCTCAATCACAGAAAAAAATAATGTTAGGTACGTCCATTATTTTATTTTGATATGTAGTAACTATTAAAATATATTTCACCTCCTGATTATCGCTAAACAATGGATTTTAATTAAGATTTTACTTAGGGTGTACTGCTTTAGGTACGTCCAAAAATTGTTATAAGTAAAGAAATTGATATTTTGCTTTTATAACAAAAAAAATAAAAATTTATAAACGTTTTTTATCGTTTAACAAAATAATAAGTTTTATTACAAAGGTAATAAAATTGTATAAAGATACAAATAGCTATTAAAAAAAAAAAAATTACGTCAATGGGCGGAAATTTTATTAACTTTACGGAACGTAATATATATATATTATATTATTAAATATAACGGAAATTTTATTAACTTTTTTTAACGCAACGTAAATTAACGGTTTCTTAATGGACCACCAAACGCCCATGTTTAATGGTGACTACAAAAAAAGTTATTTACAAAAAAATAAATTTAAATGGTTTGTGTCATACTCTATAATATATATTTGATAATAATATATATTAATAACGATATTTGACTATACTCTAGTGTTATAATTATGTGACGTTTTTATTATCAGGAACATTTTCTGCGATTCATCATAAATCTGATAAAAGAAAAAAAATACTAGAAGCTTGCGATGTTTATCCTACTTCTGGTCATATGGGGAGACCAAAAACATTGTGCAGGATTAAAAAACGTTTTATATGGCACGGAATGGTTAAAAATGTACAAGAATTGGTAATTTAGATAAATTATGTGTTATAGAGTATTAAAAAAATGTATAAAGTTTAGTTTTTTACTAATAATTGCAAGAAGATATTGATATACCTTTCTAAAATTATGTTTTAGCTTACATGTTGCGATGTATGCCAGAGAATGAATCGAAAATTTAACTGTGGAATACCAGAGATACACCCAATAAAGGTTAAGGCTCCTTGATATATGGTTAGCATAGATTTTATTGGCACACTCAGTCCAGTTAATGAAGATGGTAGCAAATATATTTTAACCATTAGTGACTATTTTTCAAAATGAAAAGAGGTAATACAAACAAAAGATAAAATGGCATCTTTAGTGGCAAGATGTCTATTCAAGGTACTACATTTTTACTTGCAATTTTTAACACGAAAAAAGATGAAGAAGTAAAGTAAGGCGCATATTTTGGTGGTATCCTGCGATGCCAAGGATTCACCCAAAGTATTTTAACAATATATAAATAAACCGTCTTAATAACTTCAAAAAAATTAAATTATTTTACTAAAATTATACAAAAATTTGTGTGTGCGTGTGTGTGCATATATATATATATATATATATATATACATATATATATATATACATATATATATATACATATATATATATATATATATATATATATATATATATATATATATATATATATATATATATATATATATATATATATATATATATATATATATATACATATATATATATATATATATATATATATATATATATATATATATATATATATATATATATATATATATATATATATATATATATATATATATATATATATATATATATATATATATATATATACTTATTTTGCTTGTTAACTTGTTTTGCTCTGTTATTTTTTAGAAATATGTATCAACGTAGATATTTTTTGAATACTAGAATAATGGAACTTAATTTTTTATGAATTTCTCTATGGTAGAATTTTATTTATTATGAATTTATTGTTGTTAAAAATTTGCTTGTTTTTTCGACATCAAGTATATACTTTTTTTATTTTATTTTATTTTTTTAACATCTTCGCTTCCAACAAGGCTGCAAGCAACCACTAATTAAAGTTGGAAGTTACTGGAAGAGAAAAGATGAAGATTGTAGAGCAAGATAACGGTTGACAGACGACTTAAAAGATTGCAAATTCAGGAAAACAAGATGAAGGAAGCGAATTCCAAAGAACTGATGTTCGAGGAAAAAAACTAGACAAATAAGAGTTTTTGGAGCACTTAGGAACAGTAACAGAAAAAGGATGAGACTTAATTGAATGACGAGTAACACGAGAATGAATTTTTGTAGATGGGACAAGAGACGCTAGCTCTTTAGAGCAGTGCCCATTATAGTATTTGTAGAAAAGAGGAGAAACAACATTACGACGATGTGACAGAGTTTGAAAGTTGGCTGCAAGAGCAGGTCTAACTATGTTTACAATGCGTTTTTGCACCTTGTCTAAAAGAGAAAGGGCATCATTAGAAGATTAACCCCAGTTATGGCAACAGTATTCCATACAAGGCCGGATTCGAGATTTATAGAGATAGAGAATAGAATCCAGAGTAAGAAAGTGACGAGCTCGATAAAGAGAAGCGACTTTAGCAGATGCTAATTTTGCAACGGATTTGATATAAGGTTTCCAAGAAAGATCAGAAGTAAGAGTTAATCCTAGAAGATGAAGGGTAGGAGACTCATCAAGTACATTACCTTTCATAAAAATAGGAAGGTCTAAATTATTGCAATAACGATTGGCTGAAAAAAATAGAGTTTTATCTGAATTAAAGTTCACCAGCCACTGTGAATCCCATGCTGTAGCAGAAGTGAGATCCTTTTCAAGCTCAGATGCCCCCTGCAAACAATCAGAGGGAGTTGGCTTCAAATCGTGACAAGAATAAATGGTAGTATCATCAGCGAACAAGGCCACCTTAGATGTAAGAAAATCTGGAAGATCGTTAATGTAAATTAAAAACAATATAGGGCCAACAATTGAACCCCTGAGGTTACAGAATAAGAAGAAGAGTGCTGTCCATCAAGGACAAATTTTATACTAAGATTAGAAAGGAAGGATTCAATAATCCTAAAGATGTTTCCAGATACACCGTAAGAAGAAAGCTTATGGAAAAGATCAGCATGCCAAACTTTATCAGACGCTTTAAAAATGTCAGAAACGATGGCCTTAACCTCTCCACCTTTATCTAATGCGCGATAAAACCTATCGGTTATTACTGTTAGCAAATCAGCCGTAGAACGAGAAGATCGAAATCCATATTGATGATCAGAAAGTAGGTCATGAGATTCGAGATTCGAGATTAAGTGTTTGTTAATTAAAGATTCAAAAACCTTGCTTATGATAGGAAGAAGACTAATGGGACGGTAGTTAGATGAATCAGATCGCTCTCCAGAATTTTTAAAAATAGGGATAACAGATGCTGCTTTCCAGCAGGCTGGAAAACAAGGCTCTGATAAGCACTTGTTAAATAGTTTTGAAAGGATAGACGACAGCTCCGGATAACACTTCTGCAAGACTATAATAGGTATGTTGTCCGGGCCGCAAGCTGTAGAAGAGTCTAAGCAGGAAATCAATTTAGATACAGAAGCTTGAGTGATACGGATGTCGAGCAGTGGATCAACCTGTTTGAAGGCTATATTAGGTAGAACGCAACTAGTGGAATCCAGAGATGATATTGATGAAAAGTTCTTAGCAAACAATTCAGCTTTGTCTTTAGGTGAGGTGACAAAGTCTGAACCGTACAAAAGAGGTGGAAATCTGTCGAAGGAATGCTGATTCATTTTTCTAAATAATTCTCTCACCTTTAAAACCCCTTTTTCTTACTACCTACCAAATTTCGTTGAAAAAAAGCATACTCAGACACTTTAATACTATACTCCGATTAATAATTTGTTGTTGTTTGGACATCAAGTATATATCAATTTGTAATACAGTTTGTAGAAATGGACATATTTTTATATTATTTACAAAAAAAAAGATTCCTTTCTCAAAACATCTCAACAAGTCACTAAACATTTTAAGATAGAAACATGTAAAATTCAGGTAACGGTCTCATAAATAAATCATCGAATTGGGCTAGAAATTTTAACAGGGCTGAGGACAGTAAGAGTTTTTTTTTGACTTTTGCAATAAAACTTTTTTAAACCATATATCAAGTTTGCCTAACATTTATTATCATCGTGGTTTAGATGTTTCATATACCAATATGAATACCACAGATGTTTCATATACCAATATGAATATTTTATCTCCTTTAACTAGTGGACCATCAACATCTTTAGGTTATAGCGAACGAGACTTAATTAAAAATATATTTAGAGAGAAATTAAGCTCTATAAAACAAAAACTAAAATTTAGGTTATCTTGCTTGTCTTCTCGGTTAGTTAACTCTTACAAAGTACTTACGTCGGAGCAAGATAGCACTATTAAAAGCTGAATTAAACAGTATGTCAAATCAATTATGTGTTCTAAGACAAAATGTTAAATGAAAAAATTAAGTCCTAATGTCAAAAATACAAAATCTGAAAAAACTCACACAAGAAAAAAATTACGATGAGCAGGTTCGTCAATTTAAAGTTAAGACTACTCAAAACTAAGCATAATGCCGGTGTTTTGACAAGTAACAGGGTAATTGCTAGTTTGGAGAATGATTTGCTCCAGATTGAGGATAAAAGAAATGTAATTATGCCAGAAGATGAAAAAAAAGAGAGTTTGAGTTTGAGTTGTTGAGAGTTTGAGTTGCCAATTATTAGGAAATGATTGTACGGCAGTTAAAATTGTTTTAGCCATGAACAAAATGAGGTTTATAGACGTCAAAGGTGATCCAAAAGGAATTGTAAACTTTTTAGATGAAAACGATCTACCATGAAGTATTATTCCTAGATATCGTGGAAATCGGCTTTATATTATTTTTCATACTTGTTCAATTTTTATGAAACATTATTGTGAGTTTAAACATTATCTCACTGTTCAACAGTAAAAGTTTTCATGCAATTCTGAGAGCGGCATTTCGTAATAAAACTGCCATAAAAAAAATGTGCGCGCTTGCATTATTTAGAAAACTCCTTACTGGGCTTTGGATAAAAAAGTTTTATGTTTCAGCTGAGGATGCAACTTTTAATCAAGTTTCTGGTTTTTAATAAAGAACTATAAGAAAATAAATATACAGTCTTCCCCAACCAAAATTTAAAGCATATATTTGTAAATTTTGATGAGATAATGTCTATTTATCAGTTATTATATGTACTTTTTCTCTTCATTATTCTACTGCCAAATTTTTTACTCGTCATCTTATGTACTTTGCTTTTTGTTAAAGTTTTCAAGTTTGAATTTATAAAAACTTGCCCTATGCCAGTGTTAACAACTTCTTTTTGCGCACTTATGTCAGTTTTCTTAATTCTGCTGCTGATTTCTAAGGAGTACAAATATTGTAAGATTTTTTTATTTTTTACACTGTATTAGTTGTTATGTATATGTTAAAAGCAATCTTGCCATTTTGTTTTTTATATGCCATTATGTTATTTTATAAAGTTTTTAATGGTAAATAATAAAACATAATAAATTAATGCAGTTGAAAGATGTTTTATTTTCATCATGAATTTATGATTATTGTAAATAGGTTATTGCTAATTTTCAATCTTTTATTTTTGTGCTCATAAGTTACTTCATTTGAAATCAACAAGATTAAATTTTAGTTTTTATATTTAGAAGAAGAAGAGAATGAAATAGGTTTAATTTAAGTTATAAAATCTGTTTTAGCCTTGTATGAAAAAGTTTGTTGCTATACAATGTATTAAAATAGTTGATCTTTATTTAGCAAAAAAAGAATTGGAGATTAGAAAAGGTATTAGTCTTTGATTTTACCTGTTTTTTTCTAATATTAAATGATAAAAAATATTGACTCTTTTCAATTAACTTTTATTTTAGAGGCAATAAAGCAACAGATTGATAAAAAAAGTAATGATGACGTTTTTAACTACTATACATATACTTATAAGTGCATACAGATTCACTTTTTAGTGAATCTATATAAACCTATTGATAGGTGTATGTATAGTGTGTGTATATATCGATGATGTTTTTATTCGTATATAGTCTTTTTGTATATTATATTTTTGTTTATAGTTATGAGTTTGTTTGTTTTTTATGCAAAATTTTTGTTTTACATAAATATTATTTATTTTTACAAAAAGATATTATTTGAGTTTTAACCCACCATACCCTAGGTGTGAGGGGTGTAGAGCTTTAAAACAGAACTCATTTGTGTCCTCTTCGCGCGTCTATCCCTGAAATTCTTTCTTTCTTTTGATATTAAAATGTATGCATTTAGATATAAAAATACAAAGTAATGACCTTGATATTAGGTTAGAGGGTAAAGCTACAGCTATAGAAGGTGCACCCAAAGGACTTCTATCCTATCATTTTACCTAAAGTATCTAAATTATATTTGATAGTACCTAGTTAGAATATAATAAAAAATACAAATAAAATTTTAAATTTGAATAAAATTTCGATATTTTCTTT